ACGTTTACGTTCTTCTTAGTAGTAGTTATATTAGTTACGTTTACGTTATTATTATTATATATATATATATATATATATATATATATATATATATATATTAAACAAATACTGTACATACTGATATTTTTAATATATTATTTGTTTGTTTGTTTTTTTACTAAATTAAAACAAACCAAAAACAAAAAGTTTTCACGTTCTACATATTTGTACTGTACAGTAATTAAAAAAAAAAGACAAGAAATCTGGGGTAAATAAACGAGAAAGACATGTCTTCTTTTATTTACAAACTCTAGAGTTTCCGACCCGTCGCGAACTCGCGATACTCTATCGAAGCTCTGCTGGATGTATTTAGTAAATAAAAGACGTGTCGCCCGGGCATGCGGGGTAGCAATCTATTTTCTTATGGCTCTTACTACACGTCGCAAACTCGCAATATTGAAATGTGCTGTCTTTTAATCTTTATATACCAACCCCAGCGGCCCAGCCCCGCCATATTATTTTGGCTCTTTTTGTTGTATTTAGAAACAAAAAGAAGAAGAAAAGAGCAAGCACAAATGTGTTTGTTGAATGTTGCGGCATGCAAGCTCTTTAATCTTTATTACTTCTTGCATACATAGTGCATAAATATTGACCAATAATATGACATATAGATTGATTCCACAATCCGCACTCAAACACGTCACGTCCACGATCAGTTGATCACAGTACATAGCACATACTGAGTTCTCAGTTCTGTGAGTACACGACTCCCTGAGTCCCTGATCAATGTGAGTTCCCTGATCAATGAAATTTAAAATTATGAAGCCAGAAGACTGTGACTGGCGCAGTGGCGACTGCATTCCTGTGACTCGTCACTCGAGAGTCATGACCGCGTGTGCCGTGAGGCCGTGAGCCGTCTGGCATTTGCGAGATTCATATGGATTGCAGAATTGGTGCCGACTTCTTTTAAATATGCCAAAGGAAATTTTGTCTGATACTCTGAGAGCAATGGCAGTACTAAGTATTTACAGTGTACACTGTTGACTGTACAGTGTACCAGTTGTACACTGTACTCTGCGTACACTGCGTACATTTCGTTATACTTTCATTTTTTAGAGTACGTGTGGCAAAAGCCAAACTGCCAACTGGTGAGAGTATGGCAAAACCAATGAAGTATGAAAATTAAACCATAAATATAGCCTTTTCGCTTCTCTTTTCGTTCTTTCGAATATTTGTTGTTCAATATAAAACATAGATCTACTCGTAAGAAATCGCACATAATTGGAAAAGCCCACTAGCGTCTCAAATAGAATATCAACAAAATGAAAGGAAACTGGGGTATTTTCTGGGCTGGAAGACGAAAAAAAAATTCCACCATTGTAGAAAACTCTAAACGGCCACTTATCAGACGCTCTACTATGCCTGCACCTTCTTCGTTTGGAGGCTTGCCTGGAGAAATATGTGCCAGTTACAAGGCTATTTCGCTGCTGGGCACATTTGATTCACCTCCTACAAACAATCCCAGTCATAAAGCAAATTTAGTTCTGGGTACGTTCGCAGCCGATACCAAGAATACAGAAAGCCACAAAGCGAATGTTCTCCTGGGCGTTGTACGGCCCACTACATCAAAGAACAATAAACTGAAGAAATTTTATACATCGCCAGACAATACTTCGAGTCCGGTAGTGGAGGGAGAGCTCAACACATCTGAATTAAAACGAAAAGATGGGACTCTCGGTGCGTTTATCACACATCTGGAGGTTCTCAGCAGCGCGGAATCACCTGCGAACGTTCCGAAAGGTACGATACTGCAGATGATTGATGCACTGGGTAAGACCAAAGACGGGGTTGTCGCCGCGTAGAGACTGTGTTGTGCTATCTCATCACCACATCACACGATAATCGCAAACCTTTCAGACTAAGAGCTGATAGATCGACTCCTGCTGGGTGTTATGCAGTTACATTAATACTAATAGTCGCTTCGTTGACTTCGTTGGCTTTGCGAACCCGTCCCGGACAGTCGTTACTGACACGGCTTACTTCATCCTACCCGCTCGATCCAAAGCTCGTGTGCGCTCTACGGGAACTTCCAATTCGTGATCAGTACCGAGTGCATAGAAATTTTTTCTGATGGCATGTTTTTAGCCAGAATTGACGCACGAGTTCTTTCCAGCGGTGCGCCGTATCTTAATTCGCGTCGTAGCGATCTCAACTTTCATGAAGAATCAAATTTATTGAATATAAATATAATGTAAATCACACACGTCAAATCAATATTTCCCATCCCTTTTGTTTCCCGCCCAGATGATTCCATTCCAACACCCGAGTTGAAGCACTTATAGAGCTTTGCTGGTCTAATAGTTGTGCTACCAGTTTGGTATCAACCACATAAAGTAGTATCTTCCCTGTACACAGTCATCAATGAAAGCTCGCACCTTTGGTGTTTCATTCGCATTGAAAATGTAGGTAAAATTTGTATTAAAGTATTGGTTCACCGTGTATATCTCGATAGCTAGGGCTTTTATATCGTCAACCTTACAAGATGTAATTTTATTACAGCAACACGGGGTTTATCATGCTGTATGTAGCATCCTCCGCCCCGGTGAAGCTTTAAACTACCGTGTGGCATGGTCAATCACTTTATTTTGCTATCATTATTATATTTAACTAATGCGCTCACAAACTAACCGTTCTGCAGGTCCAGCCCGACATTATATTTAGATGCGTGCCTGTATGCATGCATACATTTCGATACAACTGAGCACGCTCGTGCAAGTATTTCAGCGTTGCATAGCCTTCAATCCACATCGGCGACTGTGATTTCCACCTCAACGGGTTGTGCGATATTCTGCAGATGTGCGCGTAGTTGATCCGCAGTTTGCCGCGTAACAAAGAGCGATGGAATAGACACTTTGACAGCTCCATCTGTGGCATCGTTGGCCATCTGGATCAGTCCGTGGTCGCCCGTGCTCGTGTCTGTATGCATAGATTAATTGTTTTAATTGTGCGGTGGTAGTGGGTTGCAGGTGTGTCGTGAATGTTGAATCATCAAATGGAAAGGTACATCTAAACAGATCAACTGAAGCACATCCAGCGGGTGTGTAAGGTGTGACGAGATCGCACTCTATCCACAGCGGCTGTGGCATCGTCGCTCATGTCGTCTTATGATCGATGATTGCTGTTCACACACGCACAATGTACTCGGGTAATCCGTAAAGGCATGACATGATGGTTGTATTTCTTTCATAATTAAATAGTGTGGCTTGGAGTAATTGGAAATGCTCATTAAAAAATACAAGCCACGAACCACTGAGACACTGGTCTGTGTTGTCTCTTCCATTGCTCCAATCTCTCGCAACCTCAATTTATTAAGAGGTCATACGTGATAAGACAATCAAGAAATAAAATGTCTGCACAGCACAGCATTAAAGTATATATATAAATATATATATATACAAACGAACACACACATATGTCAAGAACAAACACCCATATATTTATGTATTCATATATATATATTTTGAATATATATATATATATAAGTATACATATATACATTTACATATACATAGATGCAAACTTGTACGTATGCATATCTACATACATAAAATATATAAATCTCTATATATGTATAGATAGATAGATAGATAGATAGATAAATAGATATATATATATA